TCTTTCCCTCAGCTATACCTATTATGGGAGCAGACTGATTCTGGGACATGCTGTTCACCTGGATCTCTGTAAGATGGCAAATAAATGCTGATGGAGTAGGCAGCCCACTTAGAAAAGAGGAAAATTTTTGATACCAACTTATTCAAGATACAGTATCATTTGCTTGCTAATTATGTTGGCTGTTTTGGTAACAAGCCAGTAGGAAGAATTGAGCAAATCAATTAAATAGCTCATTTGACAGTTCTAGAAAATATTTTCTTTAAAACCATTTATAATCTGATAATGGAAGCAGCTGTCACACATTAGAATCCCTCTTCTGACTTTCACTCCTGTCAGAGAAAAAGACCTGCCTGTGATCCATAATTTTTCATCAAGCCAGAGAAAGTTAGTTAGCATCAAGGAAAGAAATCCTTCATTTTCTTTATATTCCTTCTGCTGCCATTCAGTGGAATAATTCTTCATCTACTTGGTACTGTTCTGAAGACCAGAACTCCAGAGATTTAGATTTCTGGTAGAAACAGTGGGCCTTTCAAGGGCAACAGTCCAAAAAGTACTAGTGCTATTTAGTGTTCAGCCCCTGTTAGAACCATATGGTTTTTTTAATCGGTCCTTGTGTTCTGTCAGGTCCTGAGGTATACAACCTGGCAACACTTGAAACATATCTTAGCATAGTGAGGGATTTTGCAGGAAATCCAGGATCAAACACGATATTTTAAATATAGAATGTAGAAGAAATACTTTGGCTGTTACTATTGTAAAATGTTCTTTAACTGCACGTGCAATATATGTTGTATGTAATTTTCCCAGAGGAAATTCCAGATAATTGGTCATTTCTTCTCAACATAATACCATTTAAATGCTATTATTTAAATAGGTCAAACCCAAACATTTTGTATATACATCCACTTCTTATGCTATTGTTTTGAAATGAATTAAGTTTATTTTGTACTGTTAAGTTGTAGGGGGCCACACAAATTCTTTTGCTTTTAATGTCTCTCCTGCAATTCTCCCAATTCACACAGCATTAATTAGCAGATACTTGCTTTCATTCATATCCTGGACTGATTCACTATGTTTCATGAGGCAGTAGCAAACATTGAGGGGTTGGACTAGATGATCTTTCGAGGTCCCTTCCAACCCCTGAGATTCTATGATTTAGGAATTTTTTTCCTAAGGACCAAATTTCAACCATAAATCACCAATTTCAACTGAGATGAGACTGAAAAATGTTTTCTTTGCAGTGCCCCATTCAAAGATTTTTAAATGGGCCTGAAGGACTCTGACATAAGAAAGTTACCACAGCTCAAGAAATGACAATATATAATCTACCTGCAGACACCGTGTGCAGCCTGAGCCTCTTGAAGCATTAAAATAGGGTATGTTTGTTCTAATATACTTCATTTTTTCAGGGCTAAGAACATTTATGGTCCACAGATCAGCTCATGTGCAAGAATTCAATCTCCTTCATTTATATGTCAACATGATGTTTCAGATTAGACTCTTGAATAATTTTTGAGTCTTGGCTCTAGTACAGGGAGACAGATGTTCTGGAAACACTTCCAGAAACTTTTCTCCAAAGGAAAAAAATCTTTTCAGTCTACGTTCCTCTGATTCATACCCATGTTCCTGGTGGTAACTGTGGGCTGATCTAGCTAATCAGTGGAAAGTTACCCTGTTAGAATATTAAGCTAAGCTGTTAATAATACATTACAGAAGTCAGAAACAGGACCTTGAAGTGACCTTACTAGGTTAATATCTACATACAAGCCGAAAGGAGCACATGGACTATTTTAAGGAAAGCTGGCTGGAAATCAACACATAGGATTGAATTTGGGAAACGCTTGGGCACCTGAACTATTTACAGATCTTCATTTACTAAACTATTAGCTGGTGCATGAGAAAGCCAGCCACATCCTGGCTTCCTTTATGATAACAGCGCATTAGAACAGGCTACTGCAAAACAGTCAAGAATTATTATTTTTTTTTAACTTAATCTGTGACCCTGCATCACATTCAGAAAGGATCATATACAGGGAACAGCTGAATCTCAAACATCCATGTTTGAGTTCTTCTGTGCTGTAGAAAATAGGTTTTTATTAAGCTATTTCAGTTTGTTGTAAATCAGACTTTAGCTGGAACACTTCATCAAGCACTTCCCCTCTTTTACTACATATTCTCAAAGGACAGTTTGTGCTGACAATCAGCCAAGACCACTCAGAGTGACCAAAGAGGCATGCATGTGTTCCTTAACTTTGATTAGATGTACAACTCCTCAGGTTTTGCCTTCTTCAGCTTAACTGAGGAATGACTAGAGTTGTAAGCTGTGCCATGCACAGAGAAACTTTTCCTAGGCAAAAAAAGTCAGAATTTTGCACATTGTTCCTAATAAAAAATAAATTAACATGGGACAATGACTCTCAGCAGGTGGTAAATTTGGACAATGATAATGTTCACTGCCTGAGACTGAATTTAGATGCATCAACATGCATAAGAAATTACTATACATTGCTAGATAGCAGATAAAAGGCATTTCAACCAGCAGAAAAACCTAAATGTAATATAGGTGCTTTCAAGTACAGATTTTTATCTGTTTTCCTTTGCCATTTAAATACTGATATTTACACAAATTGCTATCTCTGTATGACTACCCTAGCAAAAGCATGCAGAGAAGCAAAATATAGCCAGAAGACTGACACAGATAGCATTATTGTATTCAGTGAAACTGTCCTCCTTAGAAGAACACAAAGG